CACTCAGTCCAGAATCATTTGCCTTCCAGTCACCTATCTAAACATGTTAAGATTAAAAACACATACAAATTAAATCTACCCTGTAATTCTGTAAGGATATAAAACTTGACCTTGTAAATTGAGGGACCAAGTTTGGCTGCGGGTTTTAGAGGTGTCAATGCTACCGCTGTATGCGTCATACTTGATGACTCAGACTCCATCTGATAGAACATGCTAATTCAATCAATAAATGGTTGATCAAAACCAAACATTTTCGACTATTTTATAAAACATTATGAATTATATAATTCGCTTTATGTTGCATTATTTGATTTAAGAAGAATCAAATTACATAAATAACAATTTTACGAGTCTTATCCAAAAGAAAATTAAGTAGGAAAATTTATTATTCCATTGCAAGTGCATTATGAGAAGAGGCAATATGTTCTCTGTCGTTCCCATCACCTAGTTGTCAGTAGTTCTAAGTGTGTTGAAAGACTTCTCGTACCAATCTACACAGTTTGTCTGTCGTATTGTACTCTTCTATCTGTCCACTTTCATTGCATTGTATCCAGTTACGTCATTAGACTAATTGTGATTTGTTGCACTGTATGGTGGTGCTAACTTCCAGTAGTTTCCTTCTGATGTTGGTAAACTGGGGCATTTGTTTTTGTTGATTAGGCAGTCTAGTGAGACTGTTATGATACAGGACAGACAGAAAACTTGAGACAAATAATATACAGAAATAAAAGACTTCTTTTCAACATATTCCATACACGTATTACTGACAACTAGGTGGTGAATGCAGCACGGATAAGCTGATAACACTGACAGTTTCTGTCAAATGATACATTATTGTATATAGTGTATGAATTGCAAAACTGTTGTTTAATTCTTCTAAAATTATGTACGTAACTGACACTGGAGTATGGGAGTTTTAAAACCTTATCCATTACGGTGAACAACCCTGAGGGTGGGTGAATAGCTGAAATATACTGTGTGTAACCAATCATTAATTGATTAAATATGCATGTTGCATCAGGTGGTGTCTTACTAAACTTTGAGGATACGGTGCTGAGGAGAATATTTGGACATGAGGGAGAGGGATTAAGAGGAGGCTGGAGAAATCTGCATAATGAGGAGTTTCGTATTTTTATCGCTTTCCAATATTGGAATCATCACGTAATGTAGGATGAGATTGGAAGAGCGTGTAATCCACGTGGGAGTGTACTAAAGTGCGTACAAAATTCTGGCAGGAAACCCCAAAGGAAAAAAGTGACTTATAACATCTCGGCATAGATAGGAGAGTAATATTAAAATCGATCTCAGGAAATAGTATTGGGGCTATGGATGGGATTCATCTGGCTTAGTATAGAGACCAGTAGCGGGTTCTACTGACCACGATAATAAAGCATGTAGGTTCCATTTAGTTCAAGGAATTTATTTACTGGCTGAACAACTGCTGGCTCCTTAGAAAGGAGTCAGCTCCATTGAGTTAATGAGTTAGTTGGTTAGTTAGTGAAAGGAGTTCGAAACTAACGACATCTTGTTACAAGATAAAGCGAGACTGTATTACTGCATAGTCATCTTCTATCGTGGAATATATGGAAGCGATGAAATTTGTGAATATAAGGGCATTAAAGTTTGAACCCCCTCTCTCTCTCTCTCTGTACTTCTGTTGTTCTCATTTTGGAGTATAGGGCGTCCGTGAAACGCTTTGTTTCACTTCAGTTTGTTAATCCTAAGATATTTGGAAGGATTCCTTGCACAGGGGATCAGCCCGTAGCAGAGCCGCTAACTACACAAACAGAAAAAAAACGCAAACAGACGTTCATACACTGAGTGAAATTCGAACCCACGATCCCACTGTTAGAGCGAGCGAAGACAATTCATGCCCTAGACCGCGCGACCAATGTGATCGGCAAAGTTCAATATACGAAGTTTAAAAAATACTCACTCTCTGGCCAGCTAATTCGCTTAGTGGGGTGTGGAGTCCAACTGGGTCCACTAGGCACGGCGGCCATTGATTGGCCTATTGTAGCCTGCCCCGGGTGATTATGATGATGGAAAATTTGGTGGAATGAACATTGGCAGAGGAAACCGAAGTACTCGGAGAAAACCCGCACCACAGCCACTTTGTCCACCACAAATCCCACTTGAACAGACCCGGGATCGAAACCGGCCCACCGCGGTGGGAAGCTATGGTGTGTGTAGGGATCCAAGATAAAGTTTCCAGCTTAAAATCCGCGGATGTGGTTCTATGCCGTCTGATCATGGCCGCAGTACACCTCAGCTTCTGTGACAGAGGTGAATACAAAGTAATGGTAAGAAGAACCTAGCAGAGAGAAACCGAATAAACTTCCAGAAACCCCGGTTCCAGTGCCGTTTCGTCTGACACGGATCTCGCACATAGCTTTTCTAAGAAATATGCAGCTCTATGTGAATGAATCTCAGCGATGATTGAACACTTATGATATTAGAGTAAAGAATAACATTGTTTGATTAAAACATAAAACATCAGGGTCTACTGGGCGTTATCTTGAGTCGGAATCTTTGGTCTTATTTTCATTTATTTCAGCCGGCTATAAATTCTTGCTTTTATCTTCGTGCAGCATTTCTGCAGGGATTTGTTACTGAACGAAGACGGAGAGGTGTCTGCACAACTTTGTTAGGCCTCACAACGGCATTGATGTTCTGAAACTTGTACCCAATGCTTTTACGGAGCGTGTTCTGTCTTACCATGAAGATGTATCTTGGCCTGCAACATTACTTGATTTAAATGTCTGTTGTTTATATTTTGAAAGCCATATTAACTGGTTGCAGAAGAGTTCTGATAAAGAAGCAGATAGCAGCTCAGCAGCCAACAAGTCCCCTGCCATTTATATAACCCGAATGCTCATTACATAGAAGAATCATATCATTAGGGATATGTCTCCAAGTCACGTAGGCATTTGCCGACGGTTCGGAGGATTGTGCTCCCTCCATCTTCAGAATATAAAATTCTCAAAAGTATCTTGAAGATAGAGGAAGCACATTCCTCCAAAAATTTGGAAAACTTCAACAAAACTACACGACGTCACATTCCAGAAGACGGTATCCTTCATAGTAACAACCGTGTGAGAGTTCATTGCCCTCTTGCAAGAGCCGTCCACTGAATTCTGTCACTCAAGTCCTACGTCCTCTGTGACATTTCGTAATATTGTGATACTTTCTGTTTACGGTGAGGGGTCTTCAAGACCCTGCTCGACTCTGTGACTGGATAACCAACACTCATCTGTTTTCCGCGTCTGCTTTTGGATCATACTCACAGGTACCGCCCATATAAGTAGGCAACCACCATTATAAAATTGTACACATATTATTATTATTAAGAAAGTCATCTTCTGGGGTGTGGCGCTGTGTAGATCTTGTGTGAACCGACGTTTCGGAGGAACGTATCGCCTTCATCTTTAGCGTAGAAAAATCACCACCAAGAGAGGAAAGAACGTGAGCAGGTGGCTACAGAATGTAACGATTTTTTTTATCCTGAAGACGGAGGCGATACGTTCCTCCGAATCATCAGTTCACACATGATCTCACGGCGTCATATCCCAGAAAGCGGCATTCTTCATAGTCACCGCCGTAAAAACCTCAAACCTTACTTACGTGTATTATTATTATTATTATTATTATTGTTATTATTATTATTATTATTGTTATTATTATTATTATTATTATATCATCATCATCATCATCATCATCAAAATCTCTATCATCATGATCTTTCAGTCTTATAAGNTTCAAGCAAAATTGTGCTTCTGCTGGACGCGCTCCAGCCTCTAATGTTGTTTGCAGAAACGCCGATATAGTTGCAACTAAACTCTTTCCCTTTCTGGATTATATACAGTAATTGAATTTTCTTACTTACTGAATATATGCATATATTCGGTGTGAATATATGCATATATTCTTTTCATATCGCATAACATTTGGCGCGATTGCATTTATTGTTGTCTAAATGACAAAAATTGCTTCGTTTTGCCTTTTACCTCTTATATATATCTATATGTTGGTTTATTTCTTCCCTTTGCTCGTGCTTACTTTATTATTGGTCTTGGGTTTGTTGAGTAAGCATGTAAATAAATAAATAATTTAAATTAATTATCGTAATATTATGCATCCAAATGGAATGAGTTCGCATTTCAGAAGCTTGTTAAGAAGCTGCGCTTGAGCGAGCGGCTTTTTGCAATTGCAATGCTCTTGAATCTCGTCTGGAAGAAACACGCTTGTTGGCTGTGCCTTGTGAGGGTGTCCTTGCTACCCCTGAGTCTTTCCAGGCAACTACCAAGATAGTTCCCTTGTGTGTACGAAATTTTTCAAAACGAAAATATATCACACTACACAAGGAAATCTTTGGTGTCAAAAACTATGGTACTATGTTTCGAAAACCACGCTGTCATCTATCTCATTCTGTCCTCACTTCCCCTACTATCCCGCTACTTTGGTTACATTTACCACAGAGTACATCCACACCCACTCACACACATACACACTTCCAAATTACAGTTCTGGCTGTAATATCAATATGCTTACATAAGCATAAGTGTATGGTGCAAGGGAAAATCATTCATGTCACCCTTCTCCACATAGGCCATACAGGCCATAAAATATATTGAGAAGTCAGTCAGAAACCTTTGTATACAATAGCTTTAAGGCATGCCCTATTTTTCAAACTTCTTTTAATAAGAAATAAATATTCCGCTGGAATTCGAATGCATAAAAAGCCATATCACTACGATTTTAATTTGTCGGCGCCAGGGAACTTGTCGAGTCAAAATACTCCTCCTACCCTCCTCCTTTTCTTCTTGTACGTCTCAGCCACGCAGAATACCGAACCGCAACACGGGAGACGTCTCTCCGAGAAACTTTCCAGAATCGCGAGATGAAGGAGGGCGAAGGGAAGAATAAACCTCTCTGTGTGTAGTTTTTATCTTTTCCTCTGTAGGCAAAATATTAATGAACGCAATCTGTGCCCGTTTCAGGTCAAATGCGGCTTCTTCAACTTTATCTTCTACTACCATTTCATCATCATCATCTGATTCCCCCGCCCCCACAGCAACTGCTGCTGGGACTGCGACGCTGCATCTGAAGAAACGGAAATTGGAAGCTACTGCTCCAGAACCGAGTGGAAAATTTGGAGGTGGCAAAGGAAAAGCACAACAACCTCATCAATCCAAAAAGAATTTCCAATCGCAACAGAAGAAAGAAGAAGCGATGCTCGAAGCTGCTGTTGGCGGAGGAAGTAAGGAAGACGACGGTGGTGGCGCGGGAGCTGCTGCTAAGCGGCGGAGAAAAACGTTACGATGCGGCAGTGACAGTACAGACGAGACAGAAACCAAGGCCGCAGAAGCAGACTCGAGTAGTGCGCAAAAGACACCCGTTTTGTTGCCCCAGAAGAAGCGTGCGTTGCCGTCAGGCAGCTGTGGCAACACTGCAACCTCGCCTGTTCGAAGTCCTGCGAGGAAATCTTCTAAGGCAGTTACTTCATCCTCAACGACGAGCAGCACTTCAGCAACAGAAGAGGCCGTAGACGATGAGACGCTTATACGAGAAACTGAAGCAGCGCTCAAAAGTCTTTCCGGAAGCTGGCCCGGACCGCGCAGCTCTTTCTACAACCGTGGTATAACGGAGCACGAAGATCGCTTCGAGTCACCAACTTTCGAAAACCTTTTTGAAGAGAAAAAAGTTAATAACAAAATGTCACCATCCTCATCGTCATCTTCGTCATCTGGGTGCAGTGAGTCCTCGTCTTGTTCCCTTAAAGACGTCATAACACTTCGTGGTCAGCAACAGGACAGTAGAAGTCCACGAACAGGGACAGACGGAAAAGCTCCTGGAGGAATAGCTACTAACACAACAGGATCTAGCAACCAACAGATGAAACAACAATCTGATGGTAGTGGCAAGGCGCCATCTTCATCCACAACGAAGTCCAACTGTAAAACAAAATCCCAAGACCGAGATGTATCCCAACAGCAAATTGCTTACCAAGAAGGCAACGAACTGGAGAATCTGCTGAAGATAGAGAATGAATGTGCTACGATTCAGTCTCAAGTAGGAAGTAGTGGACCCAATGCACAACAGGACACGAGAAGAAATGGCGATAACAAGGGAATGAAGGACAAGAGTGCGTTATCAGTCGCAAATTCGTCAACGGAAGGAACTCCATCTTCCAGCAGAGGAATAGAATATGCGGCCACTTCAAGGTATGAACCAGACTTCAACGAGCTTGTCGATGATTCGTCCAACGATCTTGAGATTGACATGTCTGATCCATCAGGAGACAAAGAAGATGACGATGACTCGGATCGTAGCAGCAAGACAGAAGACAAACAAAAACGGAAGGAACACAGCGCAAATCTTAAAGATGGAGTTACCATCTCAAGCAGCGAAGAACAGGCATCGTCATCTTTCCAAGATCGTCAACATACGTTCGGGGCTACTTCTCAGGCACAGCGACAGTTTCAGCCGAACAAACCCACTTGTGCCAGTACCACAGCGGCCAGTACGATGTTGCCCACGACAGCTACACCTTCGCCTTCACCGTCTTCAGCCGTGTCCTTCTCAGCAACCTCCGCATTCCGAGCTATCAACAGTAGTCAATCATCGAAAGACTCGTCAGTATCACCTCGACTACCGGTGGCACCGTCTTCTAGCATTGATCTTCAAGGATCCGTTGGAGGGGCGATACCACCAATAGGACCTTTTCCTGCATCTGCAACATTTGTTGGATATCCAGGATCTGTCGGTCTACAGGGTCATGGTCCTGACAGCGGCGGTGGCCACCAACACACTGTGACGTCCTTGGACGAGAAACACACTGCAGCAGCCGTATGTCTTCTGCAGCTGAAGTCAAACAGCAAGGCAGAAGAAGACAATAAGAGACAAGAAGTAGTTGGGAACGAATCAACGTCGCATTCTGGAACAAAGGCTGCCTCAGTGTCGGTGACATCCCCAGATGCTACGTCCTCTAAGCAGTATACTATATTGCAGCCAGCTGGGGCGGGATCTCGGGCTGCATCGGCGATACAGGATGTGACGCGTGAAGGTGTGCTCAGCGTATCGGCAGTCAGCAGCAGCAGTAGTAGCAGCGCTAGCAGTAGTGCGGGCGTATCAGTGGCGCCGTTACATCATCAACAGGCTACTTCTGTTACGGCTCCTAACGGCTCCGACCCTAATGGCACGTCCAAAATTGCGTCTGAGAGGGTCTGCTCTTCTGAACTCAACCGCCCCTCTGGGCCATTGTCTCCTTCAGGTCTTAACAGGGGTGAGTAGGAAAATATAAAGAAATTAAGGGCTTTTGTGTTGACAAAAATTATGACTTGTAACGGCTATAAAGAAACTCATTCGTGGCCTCTTTAATTTTCATGCCATTTTATCGTCAGCTAGAAGACAAAGAAAATGAAACTGTTCTGTCGAGGCTTCCGGCCTCATGATTCCCAATAATGGACTTCCTTTTCATGATATACTGTTTGTTTCAGATGTGGGAAAGAATTGCTAAAATATTCATAAACATTATAGCCAAGAAACGCAGGGTTTAGCGAAAAATTGGAGAAGTCTGGCGCATGTATAACTTCACAAGTAACTTCCCAGAAAACGGCGTACTTATAGCACCCAATCAGTGGGCTTATAAATCGTTGCAAGTCCTTTGGAAGTTCATTAATATCGTATCAAGTAGAAGATAGATTTTCTGGGTGCTGACCTACGAGCTTCAGATATGGGTACATATATATCTCAGTGCAGAGAATGTGGTCCATATGTTTTTGGTGATGAATTGTCCGGAGCTCGACCACAAGTGAGCGAAACAGAATATGGAGACATGACCCATATTTCTTTAGGTTAATCTGTTGTAGATCTATGAGTCAGTAGGAAGAATGGAATACAGTTACCTCGAAATTTTTGCGTAATTGATTGGCGATATCAGTTGGCTAATCATGAGAATATCGACAGAACATCTCATGCTGGTTAATCTTCCAAGTAATTCGGTCGGTGACATAGGGCCTATATTAATTACTGAATTCTTGCACGCTGCGAAAATGTATTTCGCTGCAGGTTCCCACTGAACGATATAATGTTCGAGTGTCAACAGAAAGCTTATACACTTCTAATTATTTTTTCGGTGACTTTAAACTCTTTATCTTGAAAGCTTGTCTGAGAATATGTGGTTGAAATGTTGCATAAAGTAATTCTACATTGTGGAAGAGTTAAAACACAAGATTTATTGCATTAAAACAGAATTAATTTTTAAAACTGTACACGTTGATAACAGGGGCACGCGGTAGCATAGTTGGTTGAGGCACTATGCTACAAGTCGGAAGGTCGCTGGTTCAAGTCACGATGAAGACATTGGATTTTTTTCAATTGACCTAATGCTTCCAGCCGCACTATGGCCCTGGGGTCGATTAAGCCTCTAACAGAAATGAGTACCAGGAATATTCTTTGGGGTAAAGGGCGGCCGGCGCGTAGGGCTGACAACCTTACCGCCATCTATGAGCCGATTGTCTAGAAAATGTGTGAACCCCAAAATCTCACAACCCTATGCGCATCCACGGCTTGTTACAGGGATACCTTTACTTTTTTACTTTACATTTTGATACGTCTTTATCTAAGTCATTTCTCTTTCTCATTCTGCCAAAAATAACGTGTTTTAAGCATCGGCAGTGCTGTGTGGCCTAAATTCCATTTATGTTTATGCCATAAATATGGACTAAGTGCTGTAGCGTTGCTACGAGGACCGCGCCACAGCTCAAGCGGTTAGTCGCTGGCTTCTCACCGCGGCGGCACCGGTTTGATCCCGGGTCCAGTAAAGTGGGATTTGTGGTGGACAAAGGCAATGGGTCAGGTTTTCTCCGAGTACTTCGGTTTCCCTTGCCAATCTTCATTCCACCAATTACTCCGCAATCACCCTCACCTATCATCTGGGGCTGGTACAATAGGCCAGAAGTGGCCGCAGTACAAGGAACTTAGTCCCACCCCACTAACAATAAAAAACGTTGCTACGACGGTATATAGTTACCACGTTCACTTCCCTCTGATTTATTCTTCTTAAATCTCATGTCCGATAATAAAATCAGTAATGATTCAGTTCTCCTTTTTAACACTCGTGAGATGCCGGTGTTAAGCCATCGTCAAGGTCAGAGGTTCTGAACCTTTGTCAAACCGTGACCTGGTAAATTCTTTTTTCTATAAGACGAGGGCTCGGTATAATTGATGCCAAAGCCTGGTATCGGGCAGCGACCCGGCTGTTAGACACCCCGGTCCAGACCTTCATTAAACTAACCAAGGTTTCTCATAACTTTATTAATTCCTGTCGAGCTAATGTCATAAATTGCACTTGGAACACGCCTGATTTTTATCATAAGTTTCCCAGTTCTCTATTTACAGTAACTCCCGTACCCCCTTTCGCTACTTCTTAACCTATGCAGCTGAGGAAGAATGGCTAAATGAAGTACAAAATTAAACCAGTAAAACGCATCTGAAAAATATTCACCGTTCATTAGCATCCTGCATTCAGAAGCAAGTATTCTATTCAGATAAACTGGTTCTGTTCCTCTTACAATTATTAAATAGTTTGTTTAAAATTCTCTGCGCATGTAAATGAAAGTAACTTTAAAAATTTGGTCTTTTTTTTTTAATTCGCTTAGTGGGGGGTGGAGTCCAACTGGGTCCACTCGGCACGGCGGCCACTGATTAGCCTGCTGTAGCCTGCCCCGCGTGATTATGATGATAGAGAGTTTGGTGGAATGAAGGTTGGCAGGGGAAACCGAAGTACTCGGAGAAAACCCGTCCTAGCTCCACTTATATCACCACAAATCCAAATTGATTAGACATGAGATCGAACCCGGGCCGCCGAAGTGGGAAGCCAACGACTAACCGCTTGAGCTATGGAGCGGCCAACATTTGGACTTACTGTAAATTTAGATAATTTGAATGTTCATTTTTTATTCATGTTGTTAAGGTATTCATCTTATTCGATGGGGCGTCCGTGTGTCGCAAGAAGATATTTACTTCTATTTCATATGAGAATTCGCCGCCTTGGTTCGTAATGGCTCTACCTCCACATTTCTTGAAATAGAGAAACAAAGGAGACAGTTTTCGAAACATGAAAGGTTGAAAGTAGGAGATTGAGAAAGAAATTAGTTTTTTTTTTATTATTTCGGTTACACTTTTACTAGATGTAATTATGAACACAGCCCTGGAGCCGTAATGAATTAAAAATATTTATAACCTGAAAAATCATGGAAATTTGAGATGATCCACGACGGCGGACTTCGGCTTTGCACGTGCGGACACATTTTTATACATTTAAATATAATTTTATAAGATCTGTTGTTTTTTCAGTTAGTGTGGAATCTACTTTGTCATTCCTTGTTGTATGGTATGGTCTGAGAATTTTGTGTATTTGTGAGGAGAATCTTAGTTCCTTTCTGAGATACTCTTTAATGTGTGTACATTGATGTGTACCTAAGATTACTGCTACCGCTCAGCAATAAGAGAGAAGCAGCTCTCTCAAAGTCAATATTAACCGATGTTTTACGCAGCGCCTGTCAAACATTTGCTATGATAACAGACGGCAACTGCGGAGAGGAAAAGAGAAACTGGCTCATAAGCTATGCTGTATCCCGCTTTCAATATTAGAGCGAATTCCGCTATAAGGAAACTTCCGATCTTATTAGTCTGATTAGTCAGTTCTCGTGATTCACGTAACTAAGAAAACAAGTTCGTGTGTCTATTTTTTTTCATTGGCGCTACAGCCCCAATTTGGGCCTAGGCCTACCTCCATGAAACTCTCCGTTTCACTTCGGTTTACTAGATCTTAGACATACGGTAGGACTCCTTGGGCGGGTGATCAGCTCGTCGCAAGGCCTCTACCTGTACACAAACACAGAAAAACGCACACAAACATCCATGCCCTGAGTGGGATTCGAACCCACGGTCCCGGCTTCCGAGCGAGCGAAGACAGTGCATGCCTTAAACAGCTCGACTACCGTGAACGACTCGTGTGTCTATAATTACTCTAAATTAAGATATTTTCCTTTTTCTTGTATTATTTTATTAAGCAGTATATTGGATTGTCTCAAATGAATACAAAATCTTAAATAAAATTCTATTTAAAGTGCTTCCTACTCTGGATTATACATATTTCATGATAACAAGCGCAGTATATACTATAATTAATTATAATACCTTAATGTGACTCGCATAAAGTTAAACGTGAATGCTTCTACACGAGACTTCCAACTTTGTTGCTTAATCTGGCCTCATTGTGTCGGCCCTTTCATGTGATAAGCCTAAAGAAAATAACAGAACAATTTATATATTTTAATATCATGATTGCTCTCGTTATAGTTTTGCAATTAAAAGGAAAGCAATTAGAATAAACTCTTTCTTTCTACATACATTTTGTGAATGACTTCTTATACTCTTACCAAGATACATCTGAACATTCAGTGAGAACAAGGCGACATCCTCTAGTGCTACTCCTGGTCACCACAATGTCAGCATTGGAACGAGAAGTGGTAGAATAGAGAAGTGATCCATAATGGAACCATCGTTAACCCACATGTTGCAGTGATTCACATGAAGAGGGTTGATCTTTATGCATGAGCACATTTGTTCCGAAAGCACACAGTTCTGACTGTGATCATGCCGCCCTTTCCTGACTTAAGTCCTATTAGGTACCGCACACGGGACCAAGTGAAGAGAATGAAGAAAGCAGTCTTCTGGGATGTGGTACCATGTAGATGTCGTGTTAACCGACGTTTCGGAGGAACGTATCGCCTCCATCTTCAGGGTAGAGGGAAAAATAAGAAATCCGCAAGCGAAGAGACCGTGAGAACCGGTACACGCAATGATTGAGACTAGCTCTTTTTAACGGGCCCAACTGAGTAGGATTATCCTTCCCCACCCACCTGAAGACGGAGACAGATCCAGGCTCCGAAACGTCGTGGTATTTTGTCTTTTACATACCAGACGATGGATGAAGTCCAAAACAAGCCAAAAGAAGTACAGTATACACCATCGTTAGAATCCTTTCAAGTCTGTTCCCATTTTTATGTGTATGTGTTTCTATAGAAAGCGTTAAGGAACTAGTGCAGATGATATAATTAATTTTACTTAAACACTTTACTTTAATACTAACGGTTTGAAAGTGTCCGAAGTGCCCTAAAATAGCGGAATGAAACAGTTAATTTTCTTTTACGAATTACTTATCACTTGCTTTTTGATTGGTCGCACACGTGAAAAGTATCCTGGGTTCTACTTCCT